TTGTTTCCGTTCGCATATCCAGATTTGGGGAAACATTTATCAATATTTTGACTTGAAATTCTTACATGATTTACATAACGTTAAGAATACGATTCTTTGAAGAATTCGAAGCAAGATATTCACAAGTTTTCCTCAAAATTCGTATTGCATCAAAGGAAATTTGGCGACGTCTAGAGTCTCATAGGGCGTCTTTCTTCGGTATGGCAGAATTTATCCAATTAGCAGAATGTCTGGCAATAGACGTCTGCGATGATTCAGATCACGTTTATCAGCGCTAGAAGACTAGGTGAGAAAATTCCTCTTTCGTTTCTTTCCCCTTCCTTAAGGTTCTTTTAAACGCTGCAGACAAGGCAGAATGCAGGCGGCTAATCATCATGCCATTTGCTTTTTTTATGAACTTGTCCCGACTGATAGCAAAGTTCATCACAAAGATAACTCCGGTTAAGGACTCCAGTTTGGTGCGTGTGAAACACTTAGGTTTACTGTATAGGAATCGATGTCTTCGGTCGTAACCGGAATGTTCGTAAAAAGGGAGCTCGAGGAGTGCCTTCAGTTTCGCGTTATGCAATACGCACATCCTACAAGCACGATTAGTTGCATCCAATGATTACCATGTAAATAACGTCTTTTGACTTAGATACTAATTTGTCGTTTCCAGACGAAGGAACGTGACTTTATTTCAAGATTGCAAAACTGACCAAAAAATGCATAACTTTCCTAAAAAAATATATATGCCGAGCGAAAATTTGGCAAAACTTGAATGCTCATACGGCATTCTTCCTTAGCACGGCAGTATACAGTAACGAGACGTACAGTAGGTTATGCAACCGCTCTTATTTCGCAGTCTAAGAATGACTCTGACGATTCTGAGATGCTCGTTTTACTGTCGTTGCAGTTAAAACATGCTCAGGATGTAAATTTATCTATATCCACGAACGGGTGCCGATGCCGTTGAAAGGTCGGCTAATTCAAACGAATAAAATTATTATCGCGCAACAAACAATATGCTTATAGTCTCATGTCAAGTGATAAGATCCCAGCGAATTAAGGAGCGTTGTCCGTTTGTTTGGAATGCGAGTTGGGATTTTAATGGAATAAATAGTTCTTATATTCATACAGCAGTAGTCTAGACTTATTCCCATTCAGCGGAAAGTATGGTGCTCTTGAATGAGAAAGCAGCTTTGCAGTGTGTGTGGTTTCTTATTTGGGTTTGTGTGTGCCGTAGAACTTTCTTTCAATCCGAATAATCATGAACCTACTTGAAGTGAATGAATTCTGTAGTGTCTGTTGTGTCTGTTGTGAAGAAGGTAGCTCACTTGAGACTTTTGTCAATTCTATTATGAGTCAATATTCGCCTCGAGAAACTCAGCAGCATCATTCATATTTTCAAGAGTGTCTTATTTAACACCATGTCATCCACATGCTGCTAGCATACTTTTGCAGCTATTTCACCACACAGAAATGTAAAGTTATGGGTTTTCAAGGATAACTGTGAAAGGTCTAAAAATCAAATAAAAAATATCGTAAAAACAATTTACCTTGGCACAAGTTTATGACGTAAAAGCAGTTGAACTTTTAAAACAAACAATTTTAACCGTAAAAAGAAATAAATAAAAAATATCAAAAGGGGGTGGCAGAACGAACAATCTTCAAGAAATAAAAACTGGAAAAATTTGGGGTTGTTTACGAGTTCATTTTTGACAAAACGAAAACTAAGTAATGAACATCATTAAATCAAATTGACAATCATACCTTTATCATCGTTTAAAATAATACTAGCATGAACAAATTGCACATTCAATAACTGAAGAATTCGTTCAAACTATGCCTGCAAGGAAGACAATATTTTTTCCGAAATGGTATCTCCCAAAACGGCATTTCATGAAATCGTTTCGGTAAAAATTTTGAGAATGAACTGTAATGTTCTCACAGTTTTGTGCTCGTTTTTATCCTGTTCGTGGCCCACCCCACGTGGACCCAATGTCTCTGTACTACGTGCCTTAGTGTGCAGTAATTAATCATCTTTTCCAATGAAACGATAAATAATTTTTACCTCCTCATATACTGTATATGATCATGATGGGTAATTATTTGAACAATAAGGAATAGGCAATTTACTCGCATATCTCATTTAGCGTATATAGACTGATTCAGTGGTTAGGCATGGTTCAAATGTCAACTAACACATAACCTTGAGATGGAAAATTTGCCGGCACTCACTTTGGTGATTTTTTAATTTATACGAGACGCGTTTTGGAGCTCAAAGCTCCATCCTCAGTTGGCTGCAAACTGTTCACAGTTGACTTGCAGCGTCCCCCCACGTAGTTTCTACATTACAATGTCTCTGATTCGCCCCCTTCGCGCCGAAATGGTAAAATGCGTCTACGGGTTTTTTACAATCGAAATTTCTAGTGTTAAATGAGTTCTTAATTTGTTCACGACCTGTTAATGAATAAATTGTAATTCATACAAGCAACTCAAATGGAACGTTGCTTATGAAGTCATGTATTAGTTTTGGTTTGAACCACGGAGTTCGATATTATATCGAATGGCGTGAACACTAAATCAGTCTATTTGCAGTGATACACACTTGATCGTTGTTAGGCAATGGGATTTGCAGAGCGTTCATGAGATTTCAACTGTGATACACAATTTGTAGCATACAGGGTGTTTCAGACCACCCGTACCAGGCCTTTTTCTCGGTTGGTTTAGGTCGTACGAAGTCGGAGACCGCGGGGTTGAATAGGGAATTGACCCCAAGGAATCCGAATTTCGTGGTCCCAAAACCCCCCCCACCTCCCCTTGGGGGGTAAAGGGGGGGTCACGATGCTAAAAGTCACGGTTCCCGACCGAATTGCGGATAGATCGCATCAGAATTGAAAAGCACGGAAAATTTCACGTGGAATTGACCCCTAAAAATCCAAAATCAGACCATCCAAGGCCCAAAAATGACCCCCTAAAGAGGGGGACAGTATCCCCTCCATAATTTCTCTTTGATCTCAAAATTGACGTAAATTCTCCAGAAAAAGACGGATTCCCAGGTAGTCGACCTCGAGAAATCCAAATTTCATGGTCCCGAAGCTCCTCTAGCCCCCCTTGAGGGGTAAACGGGGGGGCCCAATTTTAAAAATCGGGGCTCCTTTCCGAATCGCAAATTGATTGCATCCAAATTGAGGAGCAGAACACATTTACATCTTAAGTGACTCCTAAGAGTTCTAGTAGACCCCCTGAATGGCAGAAAGTAACTCCCTGAGTAGGAGGGCTTCGCCCCGCCAAAAATCTCTCAAGATTCCTTTTTGGTCGCAAAATTGACGTCGATTCTCCAGAAAAAGACGGTTTTCCATGTAATTCGACCCCGAAGAGCTCAGGGAACATGAAATTTAGAGTCCTCGGGGTCGATTACATGGGAAACCGTCTTTTTCTAGAGAATCGACGTCAATTTTGCGACCAAAAAGGAATCTTGAGAGATTTTTGGCGGGGCGAAGCCCCCCTACTCAGGGAGTTACTTTCTGCCATTCAGGGGGTCTACTAGAACTCTTAGGAGTCACTTAAGATGTAAATGTGTTCTGCTCCTCAATTTGGATGCAATCAATTTGCGATTCGGAAAGGATCCCCGATTTTTAAAATTGGGCCCCCCCGTTTACCCCTCAAGGGGGGCTAGAGGAGCTTCGGGACCATGAAATTTGGATTTCTCGAGGTCGACTACCTGGGAATCCGTCTTTTTCTGGAGAATTTACGTCAATTTTGAGATCAAAGAGAAATTATGGAGGGGGTACTGTCCCCCTCTTTAGGGGGTCATTTTTGGGCCTTGGATGGTCTGATTTTGGATTTTTAGGGGTCAATTCCACCTGAAATTTTCAATTCTGATGCGATCTATCCGCAATTCGGTCGGAAACCGTGACTTTTAGCATCGTGACCCCCCCTTTACCCCCCAAGGGGGGTGGGGGGGGGGTTTCGAGACCACGAAATTCGGATTCCTTGGGGTCAATTCCCTATTCAACCCCGCGGTCTCCGACTTCGTACGACCTAAACCAACCGAGAAAAAGGCCTGGTACGGGTGGTCTGAAACACCCTGTATATGAAATACACAAAAAGTAAAGTAGTGTTGTGTCATCGCGAAAGTTTGATATAAAATGATGCCTTGAATTTATGAATATCAAATATCAAAGGCGATTAGTATTCCTAAATAGCTCAACGGAACTCACGTATTCAATGGACACACAATGCACAAATCCATGGACTTGAGATGTATCATCGTTTGGTAGTGCACTGCTTCTTTTTTGAAAATTTTCTGAAAATATAAAAAAAAAGTTTTAAAAACAATCCAGAAAGTAGATACGCCATCTTGGGATATTCGCCATATTTAGATGTTATAAACGTTCATTCCTCACACGGCAGCAATGAGAAAAAATTATGGTTAAATATATCAATCAAGTGGTTTCCCAAATGTCTACTGAAGTAATGATAGCTATTGTGATCGTATTTTTACAATTAAGTGATAGTTCTATCGATGTAGTGGTAAAATCAAAACTTATTAGTAAAATTACCGCTAAAGCGATTTGTAATAGCTATCATTAATTTAGAGTTCTCATTGACACCACTCATTTGGTAATAATTTTTGTTCAGTGTGAAATAGTGGGCCAATGATCATGATCGATAAATCCAATGATGATGCTATTAATCAATTATTGTATCAATATTTATCAACAATAACCCTACTTGTGGGAAAGGAAATCTGTGAAAAGGGTTGTGCGTTTCGCATTTGATTCCATATCACAGAGCACAACTTGCAACCCTGAAAAATAATGAAATGAGTTTTTTACATTGAGTCATCGATTACGTCAACCACTGTGTATCCTAGAAAAATGTCAGCGCATAAACAGTTTAATTCCTACGTAACACCTATGCTACGACTCTATTTATTCATGCCATGAATCTCTCTATGGTGAGTGTTTTGAACTTTGCTCAACTAAACAAACTTGCGTGTACTGTCTGTCCAGGTGTTACAATTCTTCTGTCTCTCACCGTTTTTTTAAATATGGTGGCAGAGACAATGCCTGCAACTTCCGACGCAGTGCCTTTGTTAGGTAATTAAATAAAACTCAACTCAAGGTAGCACATGCAGGCAAAAGGACTCACTTTTATGAGGTTTAAGGTTCTGTCCGGTTTTCAGGTAACGCCCAGCGTGAACCGGAGGATCTGTTAAATGAACTTGGCCTAAGGAGCAGTGTTTTCCAAACCGTCCGCTGTTTTGTGTCAGTAGAGTAGTATTTTTTTTATTGATTATGAGGTTCTGAAAGCTCTGCTCCTTTGATATTATAACCTCCAAAATTTACACGTAAGTTCCAGAGACTTACAAAAATCAGTGTTTGCAGCGATAATTTTGTATGCAAGATAGTACAAAATTTTAAATTACAAACCTTCAGAAAACTATACCGGATGACGAGTGCGAGTATTTTTGACTTCTGTATAAAAATTGGTCGATAAAATTTTAGAGGTTAAACCAATAGTGTCTCTAGCTTTTCGTGCGTGGATCAAGATTTATTGGGAGAAAACGTTTGATGAAACAAGTTAATGGCCCTTCAATAACTCATTAGTTTCACAGAGACGCGTTTCTGTGAAATCAGTGAGTGGTTGGACGGAAATTAATTCGTTCTATCAATATGCTGTGGTATGCACTCCTTGAAATCTTGTTCCACTAACCTCCCTCCCCTGGGTTCAGGGTAAGATAATCGTAAGATTTTAAAAATTCACTATCTTTAGGCGTCCTTAAATCGAATATCATTATATTCTTTTTCCTTTCGACTGATTGCTGTAATTGAAAATCGAGCATTAAGAAGTAAACAATTTTCTCCTTTGTCTAATGACTATTACATCAACAAAATCGACAAATTCTAATTTTAGTAATGAACACAGAACTAACTCACCGTGGTTCCGTTTCTGTCCGATGGCTATGGAAAATCGGTATTCATCTTTCGTTTCTACAAAAATGTTTAATAAGAGCAACTCGAGGGAAGTTTTGAAAATTCGTCTGGCTAGACAGTGCTTTTATTTTTCACTTCTGTTCCAAACAAAAATACTATCCATTTCTTTGTTAGTTTGTTTTTTTCTTTCGCCTTTATGTGAGTAATAATTTGTGCATTTATTCGCTTCAGTTCATTAATCAATGCATTTTACTAAAATTGATTTCAAGGTTAACTTTGGAGGCCAATACGATTTAATGATTTTCTCAATGGGCTCTATATTTCGGATGGAAATCAAACTCTAACAAGAAATAGATAGATCACTGTTAAGGCTCCACTCACGAATATGCCAACCCAGAGCATCTTGTAGGTCCTCGTGAAATACATCAATGTTGACTCTATGAATCAAAAATATTTTTAGGAGATGAAGCAGAAAACAAGTAGTGGCTTAATCGAAAATATTTTATCCTGTTTAAAGTCTGCTTTAGTCGGCCGTCACAAATAATGCTCTGTTGCTTTTTTGACCGACAGATGTAACCGTGTTACTTTCGCTAACCTTTTTTCTTAACATGGTAGCGGAGACAATGCCTCCCACATCTGAAAGGCCGTTAATAGGTAGGATTCGTTTCGAGCCCGTAGTTAAGACACACGTCAAAATTTCGGCAGAGAAACATTCATATTTTTTGGACCTTGGATGCATATTCCTATTTCGTTTAATTTTTAAATGCAACACCCATTATGATTGCTTGACGAGAACCTTGCAGTTTGATTTTTGGTTTGGATTACACTACGTTTGATTTCTTTCTTTAAATTTTCTGAGCTATTTTTTTCCGTTTCCCTTCAATTGTTGATGCATACTTTGATAAATTTCCCCTTGAATTCCATCAAGTCGGTTACCCATTAGTGTTCAGGTTTGGGAATTGCTTGGCCACAAATATATTTCTGCTCCTCCTTCTTTGAAAATACCTTCATTGAGAATATTGGATTTTTCCTTTTTGGTTCAAGAAAGCAATAGTTTTGCTGAAAGACGAGTTTGCATCTCTTAAGCTCAGTTTTGATCCTGAAATTGTACTTCGAAATTGCCTTGGGAAGCATACAAAGAAAAGAGAGCACGGTTATCATTGTCTTTCTGGGTTTTTTTGTTGCCTCTAGTACGTGCTATGAATTTCCTCCCTCTTTTACATGTTCATACATGTTACCTATACATCTTAAATATATGCAGGCACAGCTTGCTGGACGCAAATCAAGTGACCTCCGATTAATGAACACTAGATCGTGTCAACGTCGTTGATATATTTTACAGTCAATTTGACAGCTCCACATACTTTTAAAACTTGCAGGGTTATTTTTAAAACATTCGTAATCCATAGGGTTACATTTCATTTGCTTGGACATATTTTCAATTTTCGATTTACATGAGTGTAGTCCAATATCGTCCATTTATTAATCTATATTAAACGCATACAAGGACAAATGCCGAAAAGTATAGCTCTCAATAAAAAACTGAACACAATTGGGTTCCTCGGAAGCTTCCTTATGATTTTCTCGTCAAATTTTTGCATCTTACCTTCTGCATTGAAAGTTAGGATAGCCTAATTCATCGACGTTTATACTTTCGCATTTTTTTTTTATTTTCAGCATACCTCTATTTCCTCTTGAAACGAGTTGAGTTGCATTTGGTCTCTTTTGTTCTACCCAACATTTATGTTCGTTTGTGTAAATAATTTCTGATTCCTTTCCTTTAATTATAATTTTTATTTCCTACCTGTCATGCACAATGAATCATTCTTTGTAAAAAAAAAACAAACAAAACTATTTAATGCACAAATCAGTTTTGGTTTTTACCCTCCGAACAAGTGTGGTATTTTTTTTAGACTTTTTTTATATACACGACTAATTTCACACATACATTTATTCCTTTACCATGTATATTAATTTTGATTCCATTAGATCGTTCAATTATTAACACAATGTAAAAAAAAATTATAAATACATCTGTGATTTTCTAGCATGGTTTTTGACCCTTAATTTACTATTTCATTAGGAGAAAAATACAGTATTTTATTTACGATATGAATATACGATTTTCTCACGGAGAATCTTGTCTCTTCTGTAATTTGAAGTTGAAAACAATAAACCTTTGATAAGTTCACTGAGTTTCTATTAATGAGATTCAAAATCAAAAAGTGAAGTAGTTCTACTCAAGATAGGTATTGAACATAGAATAATTATAACCAATAAAATTCATAGTTTTTACTGACTCTAGATGGCTCTTCATGTTACAAAGTAGTCCCTCTATTAAGCATTTAACGAAGACTTTACTAACAAAGCTTGTTTGATTTATTGTTATAATGAATAATAATATTATCGCAGGGGCTATGCATTTACTTATATCGTCAGTAAGAACGGGCGGTGGAAAAGTATCAAGGCCCCTTTTATTCAAATATTTTTTGATAGAATATCCCCAAACTCATCATTGTTTGATGACTCAGCAAATCGTTGCACTTATGTCCCTCCTCCATTATTTATTCTGATTTTCCCCTCATGTTCATTTGCAACAATTAGCTAGAAAGTTTACATGCCTCGTGACAAAAATTTGGATTTTAAAAGTTGTTGAGCTTATAGAACATAATTAGAACAGTTGGCAGCTTTGCTTCGGGTAGAATAGCTTTGCTAAAGCATACCTAAAAATTACGACTTATGGGCTGGATACCGCCTGTTTTGCTCATCCAAATTTTAAGGTATTTATTTCTAAGAAAATTACGAATGAACTACCGTGGATGATAATAATACTCTCAGATGTATCATTACTTATATTCTAAAACTTGAAATGACGCTTTTCTCTCGATGTGTCACATCAGACGGCTTAAGTTTGATTCTTAACCGGATCGGAAAATTCCGAAATTATTCTTTATCACTCACAATCAGTTGCGTCTCAAAATTCAGGAAATTATCTCGAAACCAAGCGGAAAAAATCTAGACAAATCAGGAAATTCAAATTTAAACCCTTTTAACCTCCCAGTTGTATATCTCTGGATGTCATTAGGAAATTCCCCTTGAATATCACGGATGAGGAAATTCAAGAATTGTGGACATCGTGACTGAATTCCTCAAGCTCAGAAAATGGGCCTTTAGGCAAGGTATGAATTCAAGCCCTCCGTTACACAGTTTCTTTTCAAAATCTAATGAGAAAAACGAATCACTCATTGTAATTCTGCGGTTTAGTTCCAACACAAGATACAAATTTACAATGGGCCACGTAACAAGATGCAATTTTAAGTATAATGATAGATGTTTTATCAGCAGAATTGCACATTGAACTTGAATTGCACAAAGAAAATTACTGAAAGTATGAACTCTTAACAAAGATATCAACGTTTCCTAGTGAATAGCTTCAAACTTCCCTTCATGAAAAAAAAAAACCATGGTTTATTAAAGTTAAATCGCCAACTGAACGATACCGTGACAGTATTTGCAAAATGAAAATATGACAACCTCACTATCGTCACTTCGGCTATTGCATGTTGTTTACACTTTGAAGAACACAGGATTGGGAAAGTGAACTGCTCATAGAGAATTCTGCCAAAACTGTTGTAGTGCGCGATTTGATTCAAGTATACTTGAATCAAATCGCCAGAGTCTATAGACTCTGGTATCTCATTTGAGCGGGGAGCTCACAGTTCTCGTAACAAGTGCGGAATAAAAATGATAATATCTTGGTTGGGAGTTGATTTTAGTATAACATATAGCAGGTATCGTGTTCTACGTGAAATTCTGCAGAAGAAACAAAGATCAGAATGCTTAAATTTTTGTCATGTCAAGTGGTCTCTGAGCATTTGTTAAATGGCAAATATACAAATGACGTCATCTGAATAATCTAACATCTGTTTGATCTGCGTTTATAAGAAGCTCTTGTCACACGATCAAACCTAGCTATCACAATATCAAGTTCAGGTGTTGCGACTGGCTAATTCGATAACTTGGACCAATCGCAGCCCTTGACCTTGATACATTGATGGTCCAGTTTGATCGTTTGACTTTAGCGCTTCTTGTAAAAATCTCGCTAGGGAGTTGATTTTCGAACAGTCCGCTGTGTGATTCATTTCCTTCGTAGAATTTTAGGAGAATACATGGACCGCGTTTAGCAATGAGTAACCAAGCCACATTAGTTACTGGCAATTTTAACAGTGCAATTTAAGTCTTTACAAGAAAGCTTTTGCGCGGATTCTTTTGAATATTTTAAAGAACTCTCTATGCGCAAAATGCACTGAAATTTGCACAAAAATTTGCCGTGTTTTCAGTTTTGGAGTCCCCAAATAAAGTGGCAACCCTGCTAATGTATTTGATCCCTATCTTTGTATGGAGAGTTTGTTTTGATGTATAGGTGGACTCTCGGGGTAGGGTGGGATATGCCCTCCATTTTGGCCTCACTTTGAGAGCTTTTTTTGAGCTTGGGAGATGTTTTCAGAGAAAACCAGTGGGACCAACGTGTTTCTCGCGAACTTTTACATAAGAATCAATGGTCAAATCGCAAATCCCTCACACATGCAACATCTCCATTCTCTTCTAAATCTCTCATGGAGAACGAATCATACAACGGGAGTTTCAGAAATCAACTCCTGAACGATATCAGCAAATATTTTTAACACAGGTCAAAAGGAAGTTCGATTATACAAATACCGTCATTTGTACTTCTGTCATTTAACCAATAATATTTTAAACACTCGTATCTTGTTAGGGTGTGATTTTCAGACTTCCCGTTGCGTGATTCATTTTTGTCGTGAAATTTTGAAAAGACAAAAACAAAAACCTGTCGTGAAAAAACATCTCGCATGGTGTTTTAATTCGTACCTTGTGTAGAGCCCCATTGAATGATGTCTCGTGGTTCATTTCTGCTTAACGCAGTCCATAAGTGACATCCTCTCCTGGTCCAGAACTCCAGACCTTGCCCTGTGGCCTACTTTTCTTTCAGTCGGTCAGCAAACGTGTCCGATAGGACGTGCACAAGGCGCTGCAGCCCATGTAAGGCGCAGTTCCCATAAATACCGGGTCACTAATTTATGCGATTTCAAGGCTTCGCCGCACTGCGTTCAGGCGAATTTCGGCACCGGCAAAGCACGAGCGCAAACTATCTCCGTAATTAATTCGGATATTACCCGGCCGGAGACAGATGGTCCGACAATCCTCCTTGATGAGCTACAGTGGTGGCCATCTCATTCCCTATAAATCCACCCGATACTAAAGACCGAACGCCGCACAATGGAACGAGGCAATTTAAGACGTCGGACAAAAGTCAGAGACTCTAAAAGCTTACAACAGGGTTGCCACCGTCAAGAATTATCGGGAAACCCGGGAAATGTCAGCAAATTTGAGTCAGAGAAAACCGAGAAATGTCAGGGAGTACGACGAAAATGTCAAGAAAAATTTATTACGTCACCTTAATTTGCTTTTTAGAATGTTTTTGACGTTTCGAACGACAAAGTTTGCCTGAAAACTGTTTCTAACTATTTGTTCTTACCATCTAGCATATCTTCAATTGTCAGGGAATTTCACCAAAGTGTGTCAGGGCAATCAGGGAAATGCCAGGGAATTTTGTTTTCTAAATTGGACCGAGTTTAACAGAAAGGAACCAAGCCACATCAGCTACTGCCAGGTTTAACTGGGCAATTAATTTTTTTACGAGAGAACATTTGTTCGGATTTCTTTAAAAATTTTAAGGAATTTGCTTCACATCATAGAGAATTTTCACTGAAATTTGCACGAAAATCCGCACAACCGTTTTCATGTAAAAAATTACATTGCCCAATTAAATTTGGCAATGGCTGATGTGGCTTGGTTCCTTTCTGTTTAACGCGGTCAAATTGTGTGGCAACCCTGTTATAACTCCACTAACACTTGACGTTGAGGTTTTCTAAGTGGCTCCGTCGGTTTCCTTGTAAAATTTCCTCCAAGATGAATCTCCCAAAATTTAAATTTGACAAAATAAACATCGAAATTTGCAGTTTTACCCAAAAAATTGATATCCGACCTCACCCATTGACTCTATCCACTGTGCGGCGGGTAGAAGTCAAACGGTGGCTCCACCTGTCTCTCTCGCTTCCTCCGCACTGCGATACACGAGTCGGAGAGGGATAGAGCAGCTTCTTCGTCCGCTGTCCCTTGAACGAACGCGGAGGGCCTGACCGGCGACATAACTCTATTCTAATGGCGCAGTGCACTTCGGGCAGTCGCCGTCGGTTTTATTAAGAGGAGGATTTATTCGATCCTCGAGGAAGTAATGACAGGGCCGAATCGTTTAGGGCTAAAATTTAGTGGTTGGGCTTCTTGGGAAGCAGATGGAGCGAAATAGCCGGTCTGGTGGCCCGTTCTTGCTTGCTATTGGGTAATGATTGACTGGGGCTCAGGTGACGACAGTCAAGGATAACCTGGAACAGCAATCGTTAGAAGAATGCAGAATACAGTAAACCTCGGATTATCCGAAGGCTGGAAATTTGCCGAGGCAAATTCTTCACTTTCAGTCCTGTACTTCTATAATGGAGAATTTGCACACACAAATATTGCTTCGCCTGTGGGGCTCAGGTGACGACAGTCAAGGATAACCTGGAAAAGCAATCGTTGGAAGAATGCAGAACACAGTAAACCTCGGATTATCCGAAGGCTGGAAATTTGTCGAGGCAAATTCTTCACTTTCAGTCCTATACTTCTATAATGGAGAATTTGCACACACAAATTGCTTCGCCTGAAAGTGCTTGATAAGCTGAGTTCTCAGTATTTTACATAATTTTTTCCTGAGATGGGACATTATAGGTAAATATATTTAAAAATGAGGAAATGATGAAAATGTCTTGTGACGTCATCTGGCGACATTTTATTGCCAACTTTGGGAAATAAAGGGCAAACATGAGGAATTGAGAACTTTGAACAATACTGCTACACATAAAATTAACCCAGAAAAACAGGAAGAAGTCAGAGAATTATGTCGGCGGTCATGGATTTTTTCATGAGGAGAGAAAACAAAACTAAGCACGCAAGGTTCCTTTTCAAAAACAGTCAGTATGTTTTTTCTCACTATTGAAGTCACGGATATGTCAGGGAATTTTGCGAAAATTAGCAAGACAGAACAGTAAAGAGTCTGAACAGAGTCTTAGAGGCTAAAGTTCACCCCGGGTTGTAGCCAGTAGGCATGCTTTGCAATAATTCGATTGATCTGCCGTTCAACCCGATAGAAAAGGATCGATAAACAGAATTTTCCCATTGAACACATGATTAATCGATTCTCTACCATAGCCTCAAATGGGCACCTATCGATAAATCGATCATTCACGCTTCGCCACAGGCTGTAGCGAAAGTGTGAGAAAGTCGGGGAAAATCTAGAAATTTTCAGATTTTTTTGACCAAATATGATCGTGCTATCGATATTTCACACGACTGAAAATGAAGTTTCATACACAATCAAATTTTTTTACATCAATTTACTTTTGCACATCAATTATTTTTCTTAATATGTCTAGCAAAATGAATTTTCAAAAATCCCTATTTTTGCAAATTTAAAAATTGAAAAAACCGTTCAATTTGATGCGGAATTCAGCGCTAAGTATGCCATAAATGGATATCTCTTTAACTTAACGAGCAATTTCATGATTTTTGAGAAATTCTCATATTATGTCCCAAACAGTTTTAGCAGTATAGAATTGTCAAAGTATGTTTCTTCATTCAAGTATCAATTCAGGAACATAAGGTTCTAATTCGCATTTAGGAAGGGTTAAACATTATTAGTTTTAGAAGGAAACATTGTAGCCGACAGGTTGAAAGAGGAGGTGAGACTAAGAATTGAGGAAATGATGACATTGGCTCTGCTTCTCATAAATTACTGCTTAATTCGTATGGTTTTTGATAAAACGCTCATCGAGGCTCTCCCACGATTTTTTAGATGTGTAATATTCATGACAGATTGAGGGGAAATTATACTTTTTTTATGATGACAACCACAAACTTCTCTACTAATTGAAGAAAAAAAATTGAGATACGTATTTTTCCGACTTTTATGAAGGTGTATCCAGTATAGTGATGTTTGCATTTGTAATGGATCAAAAAACCATAATAAATTCAATAAATTAATAAAAAAAAATGAATGACTTAGGTTTCAAAACCCAAAATTTTTACCGTTAATATGAATGGACAAAAGAGTATTTACTTACGTGTCCATGGGTGTTAAGTCTTGACTTTCTCCGATCGTTATAGATCGTTATTCCACGATTATTTTTTTATTTGGTTCTTTAATGTTTTACTTTAGACTACAGAAAAGTTGGCAAGCTTACTAACTAGTTTACACATGTTCCAGGGGTCACCATCCTGCTATCATTGTCAGTTTTCTCCTTGATGATTGCTGACGCGTTACCGCAAACATCTGAGGCTATTCCTTTACTAGGTTAGAGTCCCAGGATTACTACACCCTCCCAATCGTAATTCTCTATTTCTTCATTTTATTCCACCCCACTCCACTTTTACTTCATTCAGTCCTTTTTTTTACGCAGACATTTTCTATTTCCACCAAATTTTGTTTCCCACCAGATAGTTCTGGTTTACATCATTACAAAAATATCCGTTTATTTTTGTTCTTATTCATATGCCTCTCTTCATAAAATTAATTTTAAAAAAAATATTTCATCAACCAACGCGGAAGGTCAGTATTTTTTCACCTTTGTGCACTTATATTGAAGGAATGACTTTTGCCATGAGCTGAAACAACAGGATGATGAAATGTTAAAAAGTCTGTAATAAACGTTTATTAAGAACTAAATCACAATATTAATATCAGAAGACCAGTTCGAAATAAACATTTTGCATTCAGTATATAGATATTCATTTGAGATTACCTTCTTTTGCATGAAAAATTACCACAATGATTTAAGTTCAGGTCTGGATATAAGTAATTTACTTTCCGCTTCATGTCTGGTTCTGAGTTTTTTCTAGTAAGTTTTTAGAGAACCTATCACAAGCTCACAACCTATTTCTTGTGTTTATATTGTATCGCTTTAACTCAATTTCCACTCTCTCTCAAACTTTGCACATGACAATACATTTGAAATTGAAATAAGTTAATAAAGACTTTAACATAAAATGTCTATCATTTCGCAAGGCTGAAAACGGACTCGTTGTTTCACCGCCTGTCACTTTGATCACACCATATTTCACTTTCCTTCAAAATCACGAAACGAAAGAAAGCGCACCGCAATGCAACAAACTGCTTATAACGTTCGTCACAAAACTAATTGTAGACAACTGACCAAGCATTTTTCCTTTCACATTGTTTTCCCAATGAATCGTCCTCTTATCATTATCTTTTTATTTTTTGGTCTCTCCTGTTTTTTTCATTCATTCATTCATCAGTCACATTTTATTAATGTTTTGTTTTAACAGACTGAAACGAATATTATGCAATGATGATTTTTTAATAATCATTTCAATGCTGACATCATTGCCACTCCTTGCGGAGCATAATCGGGAATTTTGGTAAAATTCACTGACACCAATTAAAATCTATTTTCACAATTTGGTATTTTTTTAAGTATTAAATGAAAGAATCGGTGATCAAGCAAAAATGTTAAATAATTGACATTCAACTTCATAGCTTAAAGGATTAGTTTTGTTATCTACGGAAATCATTAGCCGTTTTGCTCATGACGATGAAGTTCAACCCAATTTTATAAATATACAGGGTTGTTCGTGTTTCTCTTAGTAGAAAAAAAAATCATTGGGTATTTTCATGTTGTTCATTTTTTTTAGCTTTCGTATTTTATCAACTCTCCATCTTCAATCTCCCGTCCCTTTTTTTTTGTTCCCTGGTCAGTGAAGATAATTTTTCGAATCCAACAATTTAAATCCGGAGACAAAGTATCTTAAAGCCTAACAGTACAATGTCCTCAATATTGTGATTTTTTGGACTCCTTACGGAGTCACCACCGGCAGATTATAAAAAACTCTTTTCCCAAATTGCGATGGAAAATGTAAATTTCATCCAGCAAACCCGCCACTTATGATGCAGAGTAAATTCAGACGGAAAATATGCCTGTTTTCTGTCTCTATGTACAAGCTTTAGTAAAAAAAAAAACTTTGTAGAGCTTAGGAGGTAGAATATAATATTTTGCCGCTGAGATATTTTGTCTCTGATAAAAATACATAAACTTACCCAACATTAACTACTAATCTCTTGCAGATGCTGCGTTTTAGCGAGGATGGCGTCATTCTTTTTACAACTTTTCTGAACTATTTAGTTCTATGCCGACTTTTCGTGGTAATGACAGATTTTTGATTTTTGAATTTTCTTTTCCTATTTTCATTGGGTCGTAGAAAATAAAATATGCAGATTGCATACTGAATTATGAACTTACAGCAAACTTTTTTATGTTTTAGAAGTAATTTTCTCCAACTCCAAAAATGTACAAGATCCATCCAGCGGTAACACCTGGGGGAAAGTTTAAAATTCGCCACTTTTTTTTGTTTTTCATAACAAGAGCATGAAGGAAAAACATTGACTGTTTAAAAAGTCAACGGTTTCTTTTTGTTCACCATACATTATAGCTATTTATGCGATGCATCAAGTTTTTAAAAGGTATTATTCATGAATATAACTTTTTTTTTTTTTTTTTTTTTTTTTTTTTTTTCATTGAGCACTCGAATAGTGTTTCATTTATATGGAGGCAATACGCCGAATGAAATAATCCTCTAAACTCCATGAAAGCTATAAATATAAATTGCATAAAACAAATGAAGCGAACATCCGTATTTTCGGCTTCCGGATATTACCTATAAATTGACGAATATTTACCTCATTTTTTCGTGACTACAAATTAAGACGAATATATCCTCACTTCTTTTGATCAGAACCACAGAAAATTAAAATACCAATGAGCATTTTTGCCGGAAGCAACTTGGAAAGTCTATTCCCCGATTTTTTCATCTCTAAGACGAGATTTGTCGATACATCGCCATAGCCCTCCGATTTTTCTACAGAATTTTTTCTCGACGTCATCCCGGACTATCAATTATTCCTCTCAGCATCCGAGAACAAACACGATTAAGTAAATTCACACTCGTATAACTTATCTATTACAATCTTAATAGATAAAATTACGAATTTGATATATAATCGAAAGTTCTAACCAAACCTGGATAACCTATACTGCACCTAAACAAAAATCCGAATAAAAGTGAGTCCTGAAGGCTCAAATGTGTTACATTGTAATTATATTTTGCTCTGAATGGACCTTTTTTTCACTGCATGCTATTTTCCGTTAGAATGTAAATGTTTGTAGTGCATCTGCATCATCACTGAGGCCTCTTTTTTTCAAGTGAAGACATTTTTTCGGAACATCCTTGCGTACAAAAAAAGGAAATGATGATGCTTGAAGTTTCTTTCAATGGATTGTCTTACCTTGAAACATGAAGGTTCTCCTCAGCTTTTCCGAGAATATTTTTAACCGCTCCTAGCTTTTCTCCTTGAGTTTACAGGTTCCGGGTTAGTTGAGAGAGTTAGACTCGATGAATAGGCGTTTTTTTACTACTTCGTTTACGATTGGCAGTATAGTATACAGTCCTTCGCTGTAATTTATCCTCATTTTTTGTGATGGCTCAAAACGATCCAAATATAATAGAGAGTGTGAGGGATGTTTGCATAACGGATCTGAGTAAACACACCCACAAATCAGCTTTAAAAAAATATAAATATGAACAGTACCTTAATTACCTAGTTTGAAATATAAAAGCGGGTAGGTATTTGAAGTAAGTTCCCCAATACTTCGTGTTTTATCAATGACATTGCCAACACCAAACCAGTTTTCAAAAGAACGTACCGTCTGATCTTAAACAAACCAACATCAACACGGGTTTGGGTGTTTCCCTTTTTCTTTTCTCGGACTGATAACCATTGAGAAAAAATTGGTTTTTCACTATTAGCTTAAGCGCGTTATCACGGTTTGCGTTGAAACTTTAGGCAAAACCAATACATCTCAAATGGAAAACCAATGAAGGTATGCATGTTTTTTTAAACACGACAGTCTCAGCGCCTGAATGCAACTATTTTAACGCAACGTATGTCAATGTTGCATATGCGAATGCTTGAAGGCGTTACGCATTTTTTCATGATCTCATAATTACATTTCTTAACTGCAAAGTCGTATGAACTTAATGTAAAAGGTGTGATTAAAAGAGGGAAGAAGAGAAAATATATAAAACGGATGTATACCAAAGTATTGAGACTGAATATGTTCACATAAACATTATTTGACAAAAATCGTTTTGTGAAAATTGTATGAGGATACACTGCATACCTGATTTTACTTTTTCTTCGAATGATCAGATCTTACGTCATAACTCTTCAAAATTTCTTGCTATGAAAACCAGCTGTGAAGGCAGAATGTTTTGTTTTTCTAGTATACATATCACCCTTATAATATAAGGTAAGGGGCATATTATGCGTTTTCTTTTTATGTTCTGTATAATACATTTCTAAAATCATTATTTCTGTAATGAACATGATTATTGCTGTCATCCTCTTTTTGAACTTGAAAATTGACTGTGCTGTCATGCGGTGTTCACCGTCCGAAGACTTCCCGATTTTTTTTAATGATGATTAAGGTATATGAATAAAGACAGGAAGGGGTATCTTTTTCCTTATCTATTTTGGAGCAATGGAATAATGAATCTTTTGAAAAAATCTATTGTAGAGTGAAAAAAGTAGCTCCTGGCGGTAAATGGCTTAAAAACAACGCTGAGCGCATTGATACATTTTAAATATTTTCAGATTGTAAATTAAGAGGTAGTTTTTCCAGCTTTGCCACAACGTTCATCTTAATTTTGGAACCACTCATGTGAGGATCAACTCTGTTTTTTTGCTCCAGATGTATTTCGGAAAAAATTCATTTTCTAAATGTCTTTCAAGTAGTCTATCCTATTTATATGGGGATTTGTAAATGTGCTTTCGAAATCGGCTGTTTTCACACGTGACGTCAAGGAGCAAACATTAGGTGCACTAATTTTCAAATTGTGGTTGCAAGGAGCCTTTTTTCTTTTTTTTTTGTGGGGGCTGCAATTCTAAAACTCTGTTAGTAAACAAAATAGTGCGTATTTCATTAAACACATATGTATCATTGTATCATATCTGATTTCTCCTCGTAGGCTCAGAAATTCCGTGAAATTACCGCAAATCACTCACCTCCATTTAGTTTATTTTCTACTTTTACGGATAGTTTGTTAAATTGATCAAATCGCTTGCGCTGTTTATCTTAAGAATGGTGGCTTCATACAGTGGCGTGGGCATCTCTGTCATTAGCTTTGGTGAAACTGCCTAAAATTGCTTATAGCTGGCATATTCTCTTCTTTAACTTTGGTCCTATCCTAAAACATCCTTTAGGAAAGAAAAGGTTTTTCAGAGTATCACTCAAGTGGAGCATTCTGAAGGAAGAACGTGGCCAAGGCACGAAGAAAATGTTCGATTTCATCTATTAAAAAGGCCCTCTCATTACCTTTTCTCATATTACTGAGCGCCGTTGACTTTGCATGCCGAAAGGTGTATCATACCTCATAATCAGTACATCTTGCGTTACTTTACTTGTGATTTTTTCCTGTAGTTAATGCTGTAAAATATGCTTTATTTTTAGAAAAACGCTTCTTTTTTTGATAAAGAAATGAAAACCGGAATTTTCCTTTCACCCAAAGTAAATATGTATAAATTATCCGAGGGAAGTATGATTTTAAACACACCACTCTGAGTGATGTGGGTTTTTAAAACTTCCTCCTGTTGAATGTATGATTCTGCTGATTCTTGGAAGTATACCTGTCATACCTCTAGTTAATATTGTGTGCTAATCTGCTTGATAGAAATTGTGAGTGCATCGCTTGTTGCTTTTGCAAAACCATTCTCGTAGAGCGTTTGCATTTTTATTAGTTTGAAACTTATTTGTCTTCAATAAAACATCTTGAAAATGTTTATAATCATTGGTGTCAATGTTTCTTTTTTGGTAAAAAAAAGGAAATATTATTTGGACCAACAGTAAAAAACCAGTTGGTAATAATTTGTGTACGTATTCATACATTTTTATCGAATATTGCAAATCTTGATTCATATTAAAACAACATAATTTAACGGCTGGTTTTGCGACTAATATTGTGAAGTGCGGCACCTACATAATTAATTAGCCCTTGTTCAAATCCTTTGCTTCTCGTGTATTCCTGATCACATCTTATAACTTTTTAGAGCTGCACCTAAAAAAAGTTGAAAGTTTTTCAAGTGAGCTGAAAATAATTACTATGACCCCTCTGGTAGTAAACCCTCAATGTGTGTTTCGCAACATAAATAACATAAACTCTCACAAACTTTTTATCTTGAGCTCGTCACACATTTTTAAATGTTTTATAATTTTACTGTTTTAAACAAATTCATGACATAATGTTTGTGGTTTTGGCAGGTACATATTTCAACTGTATTATGTTCATGGTAGCATCTTCAGTAGTTTCTACAATTTTGATACTAAATTACCATCATAGGAATGCTGATACTCACGAAATGTCGCCATGGGTATGTATATTTACCACATTTATAATACTTGATTACTCATACGGTACAATTTACACAATCATACCTTATTTTCTTTGTTTCACAGCCTTTTATACAAACACATGAATTCTCTTGGAGAGTACATTTTTTCCTCCCACACCAACGAAATTTGGTCTGCGCATTTTGCTGATACATGCGTTTTTTCCTTTTTTAAGAAATATTTCTGGGTGAATGTGAATACAAGTAACCGTGATAACGTAAAAATTCTACTTTCCTCCTCCGCCCCTCCCCCTCCCAAAAGTTTTTCAGATGCGCTGTCGGAGAATGACGTTTCCTCGAATCCAAGATTTCCGGCAACTTTCCTCTCCACCTTACTACCGCGCTGCCATGCTATGGAAAAACACCGTAAGAACATTCGAGAGTTGCCAAATTTCCTTCGATAAAATGTTTATTTTTTAGTAAATTTATGAATATTTTGCCTTCAAATTTTCAGGAAATTTAGGTAAAATTGCAAACAAATTTATCTGAAAAATTGGAAGCAAAATATTTATAAATGTTCCCGAAAAGAAAACTGATTTCGCACTGGCGGAGCAGGAGCGATCAGTGTGCGGAAGGGTGCGCCTTATTTTATTCAGTTATGCAATTTTATTCGCGTAACGCCGCACCGCTGCGGGGCGGCGGCAGGCTGGTCAGAAGGCAACGCGCATTAGCGCCTACAAACCTAACTGTGATACTTCAAGCATTGCGCGATGCGTGATGTATTCCCTTAGGTTTGTAGGCGCCAGTGCGTGTCTCGCGCTGGTAGCACTTCGCACAGTGGATCGAGTCAATCAGAAAGGTCGGACATTAAATTTTTGACTAAAACTGCACATTTTGATGTTTATATCGTCGCATTTTATCTTTAAAGGGGTGTCTCTGGAAGAAAATTTTACGAGGAGGCCAATGGAACCACTTTTAATATATCAGAGTTTTGTATAAACGGAGTTATAAGCTTTTAAAGGTTCCAAATTGTGTCCGAACTCTCCCATTGACCCAATCCACTGTGCGCCGTTTCCCTCGCGAATGAGCATCTACATTTCAATTATGCCAAATTTCGCCGCGCTCGTTACGTTTTTACCGGGAGAATCCTGGGAGTTCCCAATAGAAAATTTCATCGATTTTTCATCTGATCTCATGCAAAAATTAGACAAATTTTCAACAAAAACTGCACGGGTAAATTCTTGCAAAACATTGAATCGCTTGAGTCAATTTTAGAACTTTGGAATGGAGATACCTACGTTACTTCATCCGGCAAAAAAAAATGGAGGCAATACGCTAAATGAAATAATCCTCTAAACTTAATGAAAGCTATAAATATAAATTGCGTAATATAAATATACATTTTTAGATTAATTTTGGCAATTTAATGCCTGAAAGTAAAACACAACCCCATGGTGGTAGTATCAAATAAGATTAACTCTTTGTCTTCATTTTTGAAGGAAATTTTTTAGCGAGAAAATCGCGGAATTTTCATGGATTAGGCCGCAATTTTGTACCGACATTTTTTTGATTTTTTTTTGGGGGGGGGGAAGAGCGGGAGCTCTGTACTTACGGCGCATTCTTCCAACACCTCGCGTTGGGTTTACCTGCTTGTTCTGCATTTGTGCTTACGGCTTACGGACACACAATCGTAAGTGCATTGACCAGGTAGTCTTTAAATTGAGTATCTTATTCTTGCAAGCTCATTGGCAGAAAACTCTTGAGAAGGAAGAACGTTTGAATTTTAGAAGGACCTCGGCAAATCACCGTTTCTATCTGTTTGCCGCTGTTTTATGTGATCAATAAAACTCGAACACAAAAAAAGGAAAAAAGGAATGAAGTATTATCGCCATAACATTCCTCCGAAATTGTCGCGGGAGACTGTTGAAGTGCTTGAAATAGGCGAGTGAGGTGAAAGGGCGTTATGTATAGCTCGACTTTTCAAGCCCTCTTGTCGGATCGCGGAAATAATATAAATACAGCGTTATTTTTTCTCTTAATGTTTAAACTTACTTCAAACCAACATCTTTCTTTACTCTCATCTTTATTACTTACTTACTCACTCACTTACTTACTTAATTACTTACTTGCTTACTTACTTACTTACTTATTTACTTGCTTGCTTGCTTACTTACTTACTTACTTAACAAGGTGAAGAAATGGTGCTTGGTCCACGCTTTTTCCGGGGAAAACAAGGCCAAGAAGTTCCAAAAATTATATTACAGTCAAAAAAATTTTTTTAACTCCAATAAGTACCAGAACAAAACTGAGGGGGGGAGGGGGGGAGAGTGTTCAGCTCAGGCAGTTTCTTTGTGTTTTCTTTTCTCTTAAAATACTTACTTACTTACTTACGTACTTAATTATTTACTTACTTACTTACCTACTTAATTATTTACTCACTCATCCCCCCTGTTTAACTGCATTGCCATTATCATTTTGAGGGGGTCATGAATTCATAACGTTACTATACTGTTTACTGCGTTATGAGTTGAAGCATCACGTTATTTTTCTAATCTTTAATTTATTTTTTGTAGAAAAAGATTCAAACAACGGGAAATGCAGAAAAGAAAATTTAAATCGATTTAATGTATCATTGAATTAGTGAAACGCAAATCATAAAAATGTCGTCATTTCGTCATTTAATTGGACCGCATTTAGCAGAAAGGAACCAAGCCAAACCAGTCATGGCTTTTAACTGATCAATTTAATTTTTTACCGGAGAACGTTTGTGCCGGCTCTTTTGAAAATTTCAAGGAATTCGCTTCGTACTAGGCTGAAAATTCACTGAAACTTGGACAAAAGTCCGCACAGCCGTTTTCGTGTAAACAATGGGCCTGTTGCAAACTTTTGCTAGAGCAGAATGAAGAGTTGTTTCTTATAGATAATGCCTCAAAAATCACGATGAGCGCATCGGCAAAGTCTGAAATGCACTCATAAATTCACAATCTGCGTAAGAAAATTGCGTTATTTTGAGCTTCCCGCTTCAAAAACGATACCACTGCACAGGTGAACATTTTGTTAGAGGAGTCGCTCCATCGTCGGCAATATTCATCATGGCCGACGCTTGCGCAGTTTCTCGCGTAATTCGAGGAGAGTTCAAGGTCAATTAAGGCGGGCGAGGAAAATATGAACGTAAACACGCCGATTGTTATGTGGTTTAATCCTGTTCAGGTGTTATCTCGTCCCATCACACGTGTTTTGGCGGACTGGCGTCGGCCATGATGAGTATTGCCGCCAATGGAACGACTCCTCTAACAAAATGTTCACCTGTACCGTAGTATCGTTTTCGAAGCGGGAAGCTCAAAAAACCGCAAATTTCTTACGCAGATTGTGAAGTTATGAGTGAATTTCAGACTTTGCCGATGCGCTCATCGTGATTTTTAGGGCATTATCTGTAAGAAACAACTCTTAGTTTTGCTCTAGCAAAAGTTTGCAACAGGCCCATTGAACTGTCCAATAAAATTGGTCCATACCTGATGTGGCTTGGTTCCTTCCTGCTTAACGATATCCAATTCATGCCTTTTTCAAAGCCCCATCTTTCCCCGGAATAAGAGTACTAATTATAGGCGGCGCGGCCGAAAGGCAGCCAAGGGCCAAGGTGCATTTACTTCTCTCTGACCGTCCGAAACACGCCCGGCCACCGAATGGCCCACGCCGCCCCCGAATACTGCCGTGTTGAGGAAAAACGCCGTGTGAGCATTCGAAAGTTGCCAAATTATCTCCAATAATGTGTTCATTTTTGATAGAAATTGTGAATATTTTTCCTTGAAATTTTAAGACTTTTCGGATCAAATTACCTGAGAAATCGGAAGGAAAATATTCACAAATTTTCTTGAAAATTAGTGATTTGTCGGAGGGAATTTGGCAACGCCTGAGGGCTCATACGGCGTTCTTCCTTAGCACGGCAGAATACCAACGAAGCGCCCCCGAACTCCCCCGCCGACCCGGCACCCCCGCTTCACAACAGCGCCCCACTTCCGTGACCTGATTTCAGCGCCTACAGCATCCACCCCCTTCCCGGACCCGCCGCACAGTGGATCGAGTCAATAGAAGAGGTCGGACAAAATTTAGAAACTTTAAACGCTTATAACTCCGTTTATACAAAACATTGAGGCTCTAAGAGTGGTTCCATTGGTTTCCTCGTAAAATTTGCTTCTGAAAGCACCCCTCGAAACTTAAAATGCAATGAAATAAACATCAAAATTTGCAGTTTTAGTCAAAAATTTCATGTTCGACCTCACTAATTGACTCGGTCCACTGTGCGCCGCACCACAATCGATTCTCCTCCGGAGAGACCGGCCTTTTCAGCTAATTTAGTCATTTCTTTTGTTCCGCCCGACTGGAAGTGTGCATCCTTGGATCGCATCCTTTTCGCGGTGGTTAACGAATGATTAAGGCGCCCCGTCCCGGGCTTCAATCGGTTTTCAGCTCGCGCCTCCTACGGCTCCCGAGTGTTAATCGCCTCCGACTTGGCGCCGCCTTTAAGGCGAAGACCGGCCACTGTTGCCAGATTGGGCTGGAAATCTGCGCTTTTCCCTATAGGCCGCATTCGATAATGGTTCGATGTATCGTTTGGTTAAAAACAATAGAACATAACCTCAAAGTAATCTATTAGGATTTAAGTTGGAAAAGCTGAAAATGAGAAAATTCCTAACAATTTCACTTTGCATTGGCATTTGGTACTCAAGAGAATAAAACATCTGTTACAAAAGACCCGTTCTCTCAGATTTCTAAATTGACTTTTGAGGCTATGTTTAAGTTTTGAATCACTCGATATCGATACAATCTCACCTGTTTGATGTATCAAATACGATCTATTTAAATCCATGTGAAGCATCCGAATTTTATTGCATAATCTGACAACAGTGAGACCGACTCGCGCTTGGATCGAGCTGTTTGACCGCTGCAAAGGCGGATCCAGCAATTTAGCAATTTGGCAACATCGGATTTCCTCCATTTGAACGTACGTTAAATAATCGATTTTTGTTGGTGCACTTGGCTCC